GATAAATGTAAACACTGATGGCGGTTTTTCTGCCCCAAATGCAGGGGTTGGAGGGGTTTTTAGAAATGACAAAGGTGATTGTTTATTCTATTTTCATTCTCCTACTTGGGCTGAGGACCCTTTGGATGCATAAACTTAAGCAGTTTTTTGGGAATTTTTCATGGCTCAAAGGTGTGGCATTAAATTCTTAATTGTTGAATCTAACTCTTAGATTTTAATCAATATACTGGAAGGGAGGACACCAACTCCATGGTATCTGAAATGTTGGATTGATAGCATTAAAAGTTTGGGTTTGGGACAAAGGATTCCCTACTCCCATACCTATAGAGAAGGCAATAGACCAGCAAATTGGCTTGCTAATTTTGGTCTTCACTCTGAAATACCATTAATAGGCATAAACCCCACCCCCCTCCCCTTTAGTTTTACTTTTAAAAGGAGACCATGTGGCTCTACCTTTTATTAGAGTTTTTTGCTACCCAAGGAAGGGCTTTTAAATGTCCTCCTTTTTGGAGTTACTACCGTTTTAATGAAATAGGAGTTGTTGTATGTATGTAGGTATGTATGTGTACGTATATCAATCTTAATGCATATTAGATAAGGTATTTTTCAAATTCAAATTTTGGAACATATAGGCTTTAATTGCAGCAACTTTATAGCCAAACTGAATATTTGACATTATAGAGAAAATAAAACTAAAAGTGATTTGGTTTGAACACAAATGTGCTCAAATCAAACATTTGAAGTACGAATAGAAGCTTTGAAGTATTAATTGAAAGGTCAAGTAATATCCATATTTAGCATATATATATATATATATATATATATATGATCTCATGATCTTCAATTTGAATATCAAAATTATCTTATCTAACAAAATTATGAATAAACTAAACACTTGATATTATAAATTCAATAATACTAAAAGAGATTTAATCCAAGCCTAAATAAGATCAGCTCAAGCATTAAAAGTATGATTAGAAGCTTTGAAGCAATAATTGAAAAATAAAAAAAATCTACTAATTTGCATGCTTACCATCAATCTCTTGTCTTAATGAGTGAAATTCAATGAGCCCAACATCTCTCAATTTTGCAATCGCAAGGTACTTAAATATTTAAAGATTAATCTATAATCAAAAGAATCTACATAAATTGTCAAAAAATAGTTTTTGAACATTTTAACTAAATTTACAAAAGTAGCATTATATAAAATCCATATAGAGAACTCATTTATCAACATGAAGAGGGGCGGAGGGAGGGAGGGAGGAAGGGAGGGAGCGAGAGAGAGAGAGAGAGAGAGAGAGAGAGAGAGAGAGAGAGAGAGAGAGAGAGAGAGAGAGAGAGAGAGAGAGAGAGAGAGAGAGAGAGAGAGAGAGAGAGAGAGAGAGAGAGAGAGAGAGAGAGAGAGTACTAAGAACTATGTCCATGTTCTTAAAGAAAGCTTGAAACCAAAGACTAGCTACAATCTTCTCTGAACCACCATTTCCTGGCTATTGGTGCCATCTCCAAACCACTATCACTCAATTTTCATTACCCTAGATCGACAACCATCACAAATTTATTATCTTTATCATTTGACCGCTACGAAAATCCCAAAACATCATCTCTTGAATATCACTAACATTACAACCAATTGTTGCTATCTTTCCTTCACTCTTCATCATTTTTAAGGAAAAATCAAATCATCATCCCACACTCCTATAACACCGCACCCCCTTTTTTATGGGATGGATGTAGTTTTTAAGACTCTCATATATATATATATATATGGTGAATAATTATGTCGTACACTCTGTTAGTTGATCTTTTTGCACTGACATTATACCTCTGTATATACTTGCCTAAAAGATATTTTATCTTCATAAACTCTGTGTTCCATGTCTTTAAGAAAATGTCTAGCTTGAGATTTAAATCCATATTTTTCATAACTTAAAGCAGATAAATATATGTCATAAGCGGAATATATATATATATATATATAGATATATAGTGAAATTATTTCAACTGGGCTGAGCCTCATGCTTTTCTCTCTTTGAGTTTTCCACATAATGAAATTTGGGTGACTTTTATGATTTTATTTTATCTATATGTGTGAGATCTTTTTGTTAGATTAAGATGATGCACCCATGTGCTCTATCATTGCAAATTTTCTAGCATACAAAATCTTAGTGGTAATTGGGAAACCATTTGCCCTTTATAAAACTTTTAAGCCTTCGATTCTAAAATATAATCTCTAAACCAGGAACATTAAATCTTCTCATTTCATCCCCAAGTAACATAACCATATTTGCAAAAGGCACATCAGTTGAGTCGTTACTTCCTTCCTCTAAAACGGTCATAACCCCATTAATGAAGGCACATTAGGACAAAACCTAGATCTTTTAAACACCTTCAATTTTATACATTTATCATAGTCATCATCATTATTACACTAATTTCACCTCCTTCACCATAAAATTGTTAGAATGTAATGGAAAAATCAACATCATACAAACTTAATCATCCAGTTTTTATTGCTACTACAATGAAATATCAATTTGACACCACAATCATTGTTCACTATCAATGTATATCCATCATTATCAACAAAATCAACATCATGGAAACTTAATCATCCAGTTTTTATTGCTAATATCATTGAAATATCAATTTGACCATAGTTTTCAATGGACCACAACCATTGTTCACTATCAATGTATATCCATCATTATCAAATCACTATAATTCAATCACCATCAATTATTATTAAACCATTATCATGTAACGATCATCAATAAAACATTGTCACTTGGCCACTATCATCTATGATAATACATTCTGGGTTGAGGGCGGCCTTCACTACATTTTGAAAGATCATTTATATTAACTATCTAGATATGGATATGAAAGTATTAGGTCTATACTTTTTGAAAAAAATAACAACTCTTTATTAAAATCTCAAAAGGTCATTCAAAATAACATCTTTGATAAAGTTATAGTAGGATGGTCCATTTATCATATTTCATATGTTCATTTTTAAAAGGATACGTGTCTTAACTAGGGGCAACATTGATTATAAAGATAAAATCTCTATCACATTCATTATAATAATATGTAGATAATTATAAATAGATAGATGAATGCACACACACACAAACACAGGTGCGCGCATGCGTGCGCACACACACACAAGTTTTTTTGGTTTGTGCGGATAAAAAGGAATAGCAAAACATCAGAAAATCTCTCAAAGGTCAGAAGAGGAGCTCATTAATTTTAAAGTATATGTGGCTAAGGCTATAAAATATAACAGATTCAACAGGTTATTGGTTGGGATTAGGGAAAAACTTTAGTTAAAGGGAAGTAAGGGAAAAAGAGTTCAAGTGATTTAATGGATAAAGCCTGTACATGATTATATCAAACTAAATATTGATAGAAATTTTCATAAAGATGTTGCTTAAACTGGGGGAGTGTTCAGAATCTGTGATGGTAAGTTCTTACTTTATTTTGTTGTGCCTTGCTACCCAATTAGTGCTGATTATTCTGAGATGGTTGTTGTTCTTAAGGAGATGATGATTGCTAAAGAGATGAAGATGATGAATGTGATGGTGGAGATGGGTTCCATGAATATTTATAACTATTGTAGTAAACTCGTCCCTTATCATTAGTAGAACCCACTGATTTGGAGGAAATTACAAGACATTATAACTTAATTTAATATCATCTAGAGGCATACCTTAGGGAGACCAATAGACCTACTAATCTATTGGCTAAGTGGGTTGCTACTTTTCTTTTTGTCGGATTTGTACTTCCTTTGATATAAAACTTGAGTTTTTGTTAAGAAAAAATAATTTCCTTAATATAAAAATAGATTGTAAGGAAACTTCAAAAAGAAAATGGACTACTAAATAATTCATCATTTAAAATGTCACATCAGCTTAATATAAAAATAGATTGTAAGGAAACTACAAAAAGAAAATGGACAACTCTACTAAATAATTCATCATTTAAAATGTCACATCAGAAGATACATAAAGAATTAAAAATACATGAAAGATCACATTGATAAAAGAAATCATTATATATAGGTGTATTATTAATATTATTATTATTATTATCATTTTGAAATAATGCATCCACATATCATTCTATTCCTAGAAAAAAATTAATTCTTTGACCATAGCTATTCATAAAATATAGGTGTTCTATCATTCTCTCATCTGTCTCTTATTTGACCATTAGAAGAGATTGAGAAAAAAAAATTCTTATATTCTTTTTTGCTTCCTTCTCCTTAGCTCTCGTCAATAGCATGATAGCAACTTCTTATTAGATCCATCTAAAAACAAAGTTATCTTTTGTCAGGTCAAAACCTATTAGTTTTTGAAGAACATCAGCAAAGATAGTTTAACCAATTCAATCTGCCGGCCACTTTGAACTTGTAAATTTCATTAGATATTTGTCTTGTTTTGTTATTTACTAGCTAAGTTGGCTCTATACTCATGGAAATCATCATGAAATGCTGTTGAATTCTCATCAGGATGCATTCAAGCATAATCATGTTAAAGCTCAGCAGGGCCTCATCAATAAAGTATTCAAACAACTTGTTTCAAACAAATAAATTTTCCTCATGCTCTGAATGTACTAGGTAGCATATTATCAATTAGAACGAAATTAGTCACCAATTTCTTATTGAGTGAACCTCAATTTAATTTACAGATACCTTTTAGGGAAGTTTACATACATATCACCCAATTCTTATGCACTTATTTATCTGACACCTAAAATTTAATTTTTACACCTAAAAACATCCTTTCCTATGTATTAAAAGGTAGAAATAGTTCACCTTTTTACACATAGGTTTGGGGTGCTTAGGGTGTAAAAAATCGTTTTTTTTTTGGGTGAGACAAAAAAGCATTAGAATTGGATGCTATGTATGTAAAATTCTTTTTATTTTATTTTATTTTTATTATTATTATTTTTTTTTTAATGAATAGCTACGTGCCTCATGTATTTATATATGCAACTCAGAACATAGAAAATTTTTAGTACCTTTTCCTATCACTTGTCCCTACATGCCCGTTCTAACAACTTCAAATTGTTATCATTAGGAATCCCAGAATGTAATGGAACCTTCTGTGGATAATCAAACAGCAAATCCAGACAATAGCAACATGAATATTATTGAATTCACAAAAAAAACGATACAAAAAACATGAATGCACTTTGGTTCTTATATCAACTAATTACATATTCACCACTAGCTTGGACTTCCTTCACCTGCTTCTCATACTCATCTTCCTCTTCCTCTCTGCCATTGGTTTCTCCTTCCTCATCATCTTCAAACCATTCCGAAACCGGAGGGTTTACGAGAGGCAGATTCTTCGCATCCTTAACAATCTCCATGATGTCCTCAATGCTCTGAAGAGAATAGGTCGGCGCACTGTTATCCCTCTTGTAATACACTGCCTGTGCTATTTCAGTCAGCTCCCTGGGTAAGTTCTTCAGGAACCATGGTAGTTTCTTTATCTCGCTTATGGTTATCCTCTTAAACAATGGAAGAGCAAATTACTCAGCATTTTACATATAATTTCAAAATATAAGCAGTCACAAAGTTCAAGGAAATGCCTTAATTGGGTTGGCAACAAAGATTTGGGAGAGAAGATGCCTACAGTCCTGGGATATGTGGACGTGATCAGGTATCCTGTACTGTACTGACATGATTCTCTGCAGTTCAGAATCAGATGCAACAAAGTTTAGTGGCAAAACGAAATCATTAAATGACGTTTCCCATGCTTTGTAGTGATAAACAATTATCATGATCTTGAAATAGATAATTAAAAAAAAAAACACCATTAGTGGTATTATTGAGTCTTTACTCCAATAGTTTTTCTGAAGTTTTTGGGATCATCTGGATCTTCAAACGGGTAAGCTCCCACCAGCATAACATAAAGAGTTACTCCACAGGACCAGACATCTGCGAGCTGCAGTGGGTAAACTCAGTCCTTGTAAATATATGTTAATCACAAAACTCAGGCGAAATGAAAAATAAACTACTTTCAACCGTAATTAACAATTCATGACATTATAAAAGTTATTCCTCAGAGTAAAACAAGCATTAATCTTTGGCATAATTTCCAGAAGACCAGCTAGCCGGTAAACATGTGGATAGCATGCCACAACTTTCAAACTATCTAGAAAGTTTCCTCCAGTCTAAAAACAAAGAAACTAAATATGGTCTACATTCTGAAAGGCAAGACCAATCTATGAATTGGTATTAAATTAGCTCCTTTAGAAATATGCCTTAAATCCAGCTAGTAAAGTTCCCAAGCCAACTAAAACATAATTCGAACTACTGGACACATTGATGAGACATTATGCATTTTCCTCACTCTAAAACTTTATGAAAGGACACTTTTGAGCAACTTTAATTTACCAGCATGCATGCACAACTTCTTCCTCCCTGAATCTCCCTGCTTATTCCATGTCCACTTAGTCCATTAAAATTAATAGCTAATTCGAAAGATGAAAGTGTCAGTGATTTAAGAGCAGTACAGAGGAAAATATGAAGGCTAGAGTAGAAAAAGGTTATATATGCAGCAGTTCAAATGGCAGCGCCTGCAAGGATGATGGTTTTAGCACAGGAGGCAAAAGGGCTTCCTCATCTTCTACGATGGCGCAAATGAAAGGATTAAAGTAGATAAGGGTTTAGGCTTCAGTGACGATGATAGGGATAGAATACTTCAGCTCTTGGACGAGGTATCTAATAGAAGTTATGAGTGGATCCCAGGAAAAATTAATATTGTGGCAATGGTTCATTTGCTTGAGCTGGCTGGCAAACAAATGAAAAAGGGAGAGTCTGGGTTTGCCAAGAATCATCTTGCCAGGCGCTTGGAAATAGTAAAGAAATTGACCATGATGATGCCTAAATAACGGGCGAAATGGTCGAGTGATTAAAATGTGGTAATTCTAGTAAACACCAGAAGCATCCACGCCATTAATCAAGTGGGTAGTATAGTAATTTAAATCAATTTAAATTTTTATAATCACTTCCAATAAAAATTCAGCTCTTGTAATGTTTTTCAAAATGAATTTTGATCTAGCAGCTATGAACAGTTATATTGGTCAAAGAGAATAATAGATATGATTGAGATCAAGTTGGAGTAAATTAATTCATCAAGCAAGATCAGAGGGCAGGCTTGGTCACTACAGGAGAAAAAGAGGAGACGACACAATATATTTTAAATGGTTCAACATTGTGGCATATGCCACAATAAATAGAGGAGAACGATTTCACTAATAAGATGGGAAGTCATAAAAGCTCTCCCATTCCCCAACCATACTTTCGTACACTATTTGATATAATATTTGGGCTTGAGTTCTTCTCTCTATCATGTAATACATTGAAAAGGTCAGGAGTATTTATAAGAATTGTACTAGCTAGGGATGGTTCTGGAATGGATAATGATTTGAGAGCAACAAGAGACTGAAAATGGCAACAACAGAGGTAGTGGTCCATTTGGTGGGATGGAACACTAGCTAAGGGTTGCACCTGATAGTGTTAGTGCCTTTTGTTGTAGCAGCTTATCGGGCGGAAGGATATTTAGGATTCTATGAAGATTGACAACATGATTATTGGGCAAGCCAAACTTATGGAAGAAAGTAAATAATTAGAGGTCGAGAAAGGGAGCCCATCCCCCGCTTCATGAGTGGAATAAACTTCAGGCATGAAAACTAGAGAGAAGACTCACGCATATGGGAGTTGAAAATGTGAATCTTTGAAGAAGAGGATGCTTATGGGTGAGTTTATTGATTTTAAAGATACCTTCCTATTAATGAGCTAATAGAGGAAGAAAAATTAATGGAGACGGTCATGTGTTTGAAAGGGAAGGCTCTAGCTTGGTATCAATGAAGGGAACAATGCCCACCAATCAGAACATGGGAGGAATTCAAGGACCGATTATTGGAATGTTTAAGAACCACATGGTAGGGGGATTTATACGATTAGTTTTTTGCACTAGTCCAAGAAGGGTCTGTCATGGAGTAATGAAAGAAATTTGAGATGCTATCAGGCCATTTGAGAGGGATATCAAAAGAAGTGTTGGAGGGAAACTTCAAGCAAGGGTTTAAGCCAGAGATTCGAGTAGCACTTTGTCTACTAAGACAACGAGGATTGGGAGAAACTATGGAATTAGGGTAGTTAGTTATATATAAAAATACAGTGGAATGGGCTAATAGGAGTAGCACAAGTGGAGCGCCACACTGAAATGCTACAACTATGATGATACAAAAAACTCAAACAGTGGGATTCCAGAAAGAGGCTTCACGGGACAGGAATAATGGGCTACCAGGCGACATACAAACAACGTACAAAGAAAGAGATTAAAGAAAAGCGAGCTAATGGGCTATGTTTTCGATGCAAAGACAATTTTGCTTCAGGGCATTAATGCAAGTATTATACATTACAGATTCTCTTAGGGTGATGTGTTTGGGGCAGCAGTGTGGTGGTGATGCGGTAGCGCACCGCAGTTTTTCCTATTTGGTTGAACTGTGTTTTGACTGCATCTTCAAAAAGCTGCACCTAAAAGCTGCATTTGCCACCAGACTTGGCCATCTGCGGTGATTGCTAGAAAGCTGCGGTTTGGCTTTTTTTTTTCCGTAATAGTCATTACAGCTTTTTAAACAACAGTTTCTTCTTTAGTAGCTTCACAGCTACTTCTTCAAACAACTGCAATTACCCCAAACAGACCCTTAGTGTGAGACAAAGAGGAGGTCGTGGAGGAAGAAATAGAGGAGAATGTGGTGGAGTAGGAACGCCCTCACTTGGATGCGACAGAAGTCTCTTTGAGAACGGGGGGGGGTTCACACCAAACCACACTGCGAAACTTGATGGAAAAATCAGGAAATAGGATGTAATGATGTTAGTAGATAGCGTGGTCACCCACAATTTCATCTCCACTCAAGTAGCAAAGCAATTAGGGCTTAAGATGGTTGATACAAGAAACTTTGGAGTAATAATGGGGACGGGACATGCGAAAAAAAAGTAAAGGAATTTGTACAGGGCTGATTTTGACAACACAACGTATTCACAGGTGGTAGAGGATTTTCTTCTCTTGGATTTAGGGAGCACTTATGTAATATTAGGCATGAAATAGTTGCAGTCCTTAGGAGAAATGATAATAAATTGGAAACTCCTAATAATGGAGTATCACGAGAGAAGCGAAGGTATTGCTTCGCATTGACCCGAGTTTGTGCAAGAGATTAGTGACACTCAAGGCCATGATTAGAGCAATTCATAACCCTGGTTTGGGATTTTTAATTGAATTGCATAGCATGGAAGAGGTACAAGATATAGAGTTGGTAGAGATTCTGACACAAGTTCAACAACTTTTATAATAATTTGCAAAAGTTTTCCAGTCACCACATGGATTACCTTCTCGAAGAGAACACGAGCATGCAAGAACCTTGAAACTAGTGACTCCTCCAGATAATGTGTGTCCATACCGCTACCTTTAGGTGAAAAAGGATGAGATCGATAGATTAATCTGAGAAATATTGGAGGCAAGAATCAAATAGCCTAGTGTGAGCCCCTTTTCAAGTTCGATCTTGCTAGGTAAGAAGGATGAGAGTTGACATTTCTGTGTGGATTACATGGTAGTGAATAAGAAAACAATACCTAACAAATTTCTCATCTTGGTGATTGTTGAGCTTTTGGACGGATTGTTTGTGGCTGCAGTATTTTTCAAGATTGATTCGAAATCAACAGGCATGCAAAAGACTGCTTTTCGAATCCATAAGGGTCACTATAACTTTTTGGTTATGTCATTCGGGCTCACCAAAGCCCCAACTACATTTTAATCACGGTAAACAAGGTGTTCGTTCATTGCTCTAGAGGTTTGTGTTAGTGTTCTTTAACGGTATCCTAGTGTACAGTGGTCCCTTGGAAGACCACCTTTATCACTTGAAGGCGTTGACGGTACTTGATGAACACCAGCTTTATGCTAACTTGAAGAAGTGTTCATTTGCCCAATCAAATGTGAAGTGCTTAAGACAAGTGGTGCCACCTACAAAAATGTCGGCAGACCAATTGAAGGTGGTGGCTATGTTGGATTGTCCACTACTTGAGACCTTAAAGGAGTTGAAAGGTTTTCTAGGACTTACATGGTATTATTGAATCCAAAGTTTATGAAGGGTTACAACTCGATTGCCTAGCCATTGATGGAGCAATTAAAGAAGAATAACTTTCAATGGGGAGAAGCGGCGACCCAGGTTTTTGAAAAGTTAAAGAAGGCTATGATGAGTATACTTGTTTTGGCATACAAGACTTCAGCCATCCGTTCATTGTAGAGATGGATGCTTCAGGCTATGGTTTAGGTGCAGTTCTCATGCAATGTCAATAGCCCGTCGCTTATTTTAGTCAAGTGTTGACTACAAGAACTGATTCAAATCAGTTATGAGTGGGAGCTAATGGAAATTGTGTCAGCTATTAAAAAATTGTGTCAGTATTTTGTTGGAGTGGCATTTTATAGCATGCATGGATTATGGCAGTCTCAAATTTCTATTGGAACAACTGATGATGACTGAGAAACATCATATATGGTTGCCTAAGCTATTGGGGTATGAATTTGAGATTCAGTATCATCGAGATTAGAAAATGAGGTTGTTGATGCCCTATCACATCAGATGGGCGAACCTCAATTGCTGGCATTGTCAGTCTCGTTGGTCATAGATTGGGAGGTCCTGAGGTAAGAGAGTGAAGTGGATAAGGAATTGGTTCAGATTTGATCAACATTATCGAATGACGAGAACAATTATCCTAGTGACTGAATGGCCAACGTTTACTATACTAGGGATGCTATGTATTACCCCGAAAGTCAAGACACATTACAAAGTCATTTTAGGAGTAACGCTATTGGGGGGGGGGGTTCATTTAGGTGTGTTCAAGACATGTCGAAAGATAACAACAGAATTGTGTTGGGTGGAA